CGGGCGGGGCCTGCGGGCACTCCCGGCGCGGAGCCGCCTCCCGCCTCGTTCCGCGCCCGCGGAAGCTCCGCTTGCGCCTGCACCGGCCCCCCAAGAAAGCACCTGCTCCCGCAGCGCTCACCCCGGGTGCTGGGGGTGAAAAACCTGGTGAAAAGCTTCACATTCAGCTGTTCCGGCACCCCTGGTTGGAACCGCACCGCGCTGACCTTGCCTTAATCAAAAAGCGGGGGCGGGGGAAAGTGTACTGAGGTGCACGATGCCAAGAGGGCAGGCACCGAAAGGCGCCCAGAACCGAGCCCAGCCGCACACCCCGCCCTCGGAAACACAAACACACACGCACAGCAACTCGGCAACCCTCGCTGCTGGAAAAAAAAAATAAAAAAAAATAAAATAAAAATTAAAAAATTAAATCACCCAGCTGGCTTAAAGTGAGCACACGTCTCAGTTTTGAAAACCTCATTAGAATCTGCGATAGTTTCTGTGTGTTGTTTTTTTAAATATCAAGTTAAAGTGAAAAATATCAAATAAATATCAAGTTCAAAGTGAAACTGGCTGCCTGAGTGGAAGGCCAAAATGAAACAGGTGGAGAGGAACACACAGCACAGGATACAGCAGCAGCTGTGCTCCTGCTCTCCTGTACAGACACACCCAATTAAAGATGATTTAAACTCTCGAGTGATCCAACCAGGCTCTCCAAACACAGTAGGAGGATGAACACGTTTGGTTGAAGGGGACTTAACAGGTTCAGCACTTCCAGTAGCACACGAGACTTAGAACATGTTCAATAGGCACGCGAGAACACACCTGGGTCCAGGTAGCAAGGGAACCACATATCATTTAGGCACTGCAGCAGTGGGGTATCCTCACTGTCACACCACAACTGCTCTGCCTTTCTGCTTTCTGCCAAAGAGCTCCCAGACATCACCCTGCACTGGCACACGCGCTCCTGCCTCACTTGCTGGGCTGGTCAGCAGTCACATGCCCACTTATGCTGCTGCCTCACCCCAGCAGCACCACAGTCACAGCGAGGGAAGCCACGGCAGCCTGAAATGAACCACCCCTGTCCCTCTTTGCAACCTCCTAGTGCTCCCATCATTCTTCTCGCTTACACCCAAGACACCCTTTCCTCTCTCATTTCTTGTGTTCTGTCACTCAGCAGATGTAGGGCTTGGCCCTGTTTACTCCTTGTCTTATAAGATGTACTTCCAAAAATAGCCAACATCTCTTTACTGAACCAATCAAATTATTTAAACAGGCTTTTATAAAGATAGTAATTTAAAAAAAAATAAATTCCAGTGTTATGCAGCAGGAAAGACATTTTTTGGGATAACATAATTCTCTGCTTTAAGGAGATTGCATGCAGTTTTACCCCTTCACCAGAAAAAACACACAAACGTGCAAAAAAACCCAACAAATCCTCACTACAGCTCACACTTCTTCAGGCATCAAGGCATTTTTTATGATTATTCTGGAACTTCTATAGCAGCAGCTGAGAACAAAGGCCACCTTCTACAACACCAAGCACTTTAGCTGTCCTGACCTGCAGCAGCAGCTGGTGGACACCTTGCTCCCTGCCAAGCAGAGTGCCCTTTGGTCAGGTGAGATGAGATCAGATGACCTGGTGGAGACCCAGGTCTACCTCAAAGAAACCCCCCAGGTGCTTGCTGCTTTCTTCAAGATATTTGGAAATTAATGACCTTTTGTGGTAAAGGCTTGAAGTTATCACAGCTACCACAATTGTTATGCTACCATAAGGAAACCACAGATTCCACAATCCAATTCATGTTTCTGTAACTGCAGATTTAAGCTCCAAACATTGCTAATAATTGACTGCTTTCTTTTTCACAAATAGAAAAAAATTACTATTACTTTTTGTGCAAGAAGTGACACATGTATTCTTTCTTAATTTTAAACTGATACCAAGAAAAATAAAATTAAGCAGAATTATTAAAATTACAGCAATTCTTCAAACTCGTAGAAGCATCTTTCTTTGCAACTAAGAACTCCATTTTTTCAGATGCAACAAATGTACTAATCAAAGACATGCTAATTGCATACTGTGGTGGCAAATTTATTTGAAATGGAGGAAAGCATTCTTAGTGAACATTTTTCATTTGGGAAAAAGGCCCATATCAGTGTACCTTTACATCTATGTTCCTGAAAACAGGAGAACCAGTAACCCTAACTATTCAAAACAATTTTCACTTATTTTATTTGGTTTCCCAAACTCAGACCTTAAAACAGAAGGTTAGAATGATTTGAAAGCAGACGGGCCCTACCTAAGTCACTGTCAAGAAGGGGATTAACCTCCTGTTTCCTCTTTTTCTCCTACAGGTGTTACAAGGTAAGGAAGCATATGTGCAGACCAGCTGGGACTTCAGGAACACTGCAACACTGCAGTGCAGGAACCTGAATAAACCAGGAAAAAAGCAGGAAACTGATTAAGAGTTAATTACAGAGGGGCAAAAAAACAATGAAGGTGACCAGTAACACAGCAGCTCGAAAAGTTTTTGTGCATACTTATTTTGCTAACTTTGTGGTAGTAGAAGGCTTACTGTGTAATTTATTGGATGGACTAGGACTGCCGATACAATGTAGAATATACAAAGCTTTTACAGTTACCTTTCTGTCCACTTTGTATCCTCCCTCTTGTTACCTTCTAGCAGGGCAAGTCAGACTTCCTTGGCAAACTCACAGTACTTTTTTCCTTTAAGAGCATAGTATTTAAAATACTCTTATTTGAAGAAGAGGCTGATACACACTATGTGAAACCAAGAGAGTAACAGTCATTACAAGCTACTTTACATTTTTAAGCTTATGTTTTATGTTGTGTTAAAGCATCCAAGCATACCAAGAAACACTGCAAATTACAGGATGGTATAATATAGCACCATTTTTTATTTGTGCAAGATTTTATAATGACGAATTACATGCCCACAGACTATATGAGCCTTCTTTCCATACTGTATAACTTATCATTACAGCCAAGCTGACAGAGAACCTGACAGTTTCAGATAAAGACACTTCCCTGCCCAACCAACTGTAATGAAGTTCAACATTTTTTTAAAAAGCAAGAAACCAGACAGAAACAATTAAGAGAATTTTTTTTAAATGTTTCAAAATGTTAGCAGCTACCAAGGCAAAAACTGCATTCTGAGGATCCAAGGATTTTTACTTTCTAATATAGTATTTAGAGATTTTCCAATCTGTATTTAGAGAGTATCTATATACATGCATATGTCATTCCAGTAAAAAAACTCACCAAGACTCCATTTGTTCATAGAATGGTATGTTTTTGCAGACCTTCTAGAGTAATACAACACAAGTGATCTATCCTCTCTCAAAAAATTGCTGAGCCCTCACTTTTGAGGGGGATGTTTTTCAGACTGGGGGGAAAAAAAAAATGCAAAAAGCTTCATTCGACGATTAAATGTGTTCTGTTCTAGATGGTCATCAGCAGGAGAAATGTGTACACAAAACACTAAAAAAAATAAAATTACTTGGTTTATTCACAGATGATGTATCAGACCTAACCTCTCACTGTCCTGAGCATTTCCTTTTAAATGCAAACACACTACCCATGCTGTTCTCCTCATATTTTGTCAGTCTTAGCACATGAAGGTGTTACCACAGCCTTCACTTTTCAGACAGCCTAACTGAGCAACAAAATAAATTTAACTGCATCTTGGTTGCTGGGTATAACTGGCTGTCTTTGGTCAGAATAACTGCTCCAGTTCCACAGAGAAAGCCACAACTGTCCAAGACTTTATTTTTTACTTTTTTTTTCATATAAACACCCTCAAGATGCACCTGCCAGTAACATTTACAGCTATCTGTTCGAAGCAGCCTTCCAGCTAGCGTGTGACACCCCCATAAGAGACTTGCTCCAGGTGACGAAACAGCCTCTTCTCCCTGCAGCAGCACTTCCAAACCCTCCCACCACCATCCCACCCTGCCAGAGCAACCATTATCAACAGCAGGGGCAATTTCTTCAACTACAGTTGGACAGTCCTACCATACGCTCAGAGTTCATTATAGTATAACACACCCCTGCTTGGAACACAGCAGCAAGAAATTGTAGTTTTGGATCCTTTTAAAAGTAGAAGGGATTTAAAATAAGTCCAGGACATTCTAGCACAATGAAACCACTTAAAAGTCTAAAATTGTGATCACAACGGTACCTTAATTAGATGAGACATGCCTATTTTCTTTACTAGGTATTGCATGAAGAAAAACATTAAAGCACTGTCACTGTTATGTGAAGCTTTTCCCTTCTAACTGTAGATTTACTGCTCTTCTTGTGCTACAGTACTAGTAACAATAAAAAGGATTACAAGATGACAGCGAGATGCATTTTGAATTTGTCAGTCACAAAGAAAAAAACTAATTCACACCTGTTTTTCTAGGATTTTTATTGAAAAACACGAAAACAAAAAAATTATCAAGGCCAGTTTTACAATAAATTTAAGACATACAGAATGGCTTACCTGCTGTTAGGATTAAGTGCAGGAACTTTATTCTAATATTTTTCTCATGCAATTGCTAGATTAAAATCACACTCTCATTTACGATGAAAGTGAGTAATTACTAATGCTTTCTTAGAATTTAACCTTAAAATCTAGTTTAAAAAGTAAATTTTCCGAAGATTAAAAACATTTGCACCGCAATAACCCCCCTTCACAGACCAGTTAATAGCTTCCTGTGTCTGATAGCTGACAGAATTAGACCACAGAGCTATTTTTTTTCCTTTTTGTTATTCTAACCTGAGAAATTTCTTACATGCTTCTTACTGGGCTTTCATATTTGGCAACATTACTTCAGTTACACAGCAGAGTGTGATTTCTCACTCTTGTCACAGACAAGTCTTTCACTACTTATCCCAAAAGACACTGTCACAAACAGGATTTGCATTAGCATAAATCTGCTTCTGTGAATATTATGCCCTTTTGGCAAGTTAAACCCTGTTAGTAATATCATCAGAACACTAACCTCAGGATGTCAAGTTCCCATCAGTTGTGTAATTCCTAGTATTGTGCGCTTTGAAAATATTTACTTTGGCATGTTATACTTTGTAGCATAGAGAAGAACTTGCTTACTCCCCACCTTACAAAATCTGTCTTTTCTCTCTTCCATTTATTCAAGCCCTCTCCCTTGCCACCAGTTATGTCCCTTTCTCATCACTGCAACAGAAACAAGACATAAAGCACAGAAACACATTTAAAATGTGAGATCTCAAAAAGTTGGGGAACAGCAGACAATGGTCTTGTAAAACACTCTTAGTTGATGAATGAGCTTGTAAAATGTATTCCCCATAAATCTTTCAGTATAGCATTCAAGCCTTCAATTTTAAAATACTAAGCTTACTTATATTTTATTTCTAACCTTTCAACATTCAGTATTCTACTACATTTAAATGTGCTAGTTGCTTGACACTTGCTCCTTGTTATATATTAAAAAACAACACTGTCTAAAGAAATGATGGAAAAAACACTTGAAATAAGTAATTTAAGTTCCAACAGAATAGCACTTCTGCATTTTCAGGAACTTCATATATTAAATAATTTGGGTTATTACAAATTGTTGCCCTTCAGTTTTACGTGAACTTATCTGATTTTAAGCGAACAGTGATTCCTTCCCAGTCTTGTCTGCCAGACTAAAATTGAAGAGAATATATTTATACAAACTGAGCTTTGTTTGCTTCATACTCTGCCTATTAAAAACCATTACACTAACGATGGAAATCAATGAAGTGCTTGACTTGAAAGGTGTAGAAGTCACATACCCCAAGAAATGGCTGGATTTTTTTTCTGTTTGTTTCTGGTAACTCTGGTCATTACTGTACTGAAGTGGTCTGAGTTTTCAGCTTTTCTGCAAAATAGCTTTAAAAGAATATTTCAAGAGACCACAACAAAATAAGATGTGGATGGATACCATATACAGCTGATGCATGACAACCTTTTATTTTACTGTAATTTGTTGGCATTTTTGATCCCAAAAGCAGAAACAACAGACTTTGCATTTTCTTAAATGCATTCATAATCCTTATTTTTTAATTATCCATCCAATTACAAAAAAACAACCGTTGGAAAATAAGGAGCTAATTTAACTATTTTGATAATCCTTAGTCTCACATACATTTTTAACATTATACAGTGAAACTGCATTTTGCATATCAGCAGTGACTGCGCTTTAAAAAGGACCCACTGAATTACTTCCAACAGGTCTGTATAGCACCATATAATCTGCTGTCGATTAAACTGCTTAGAATCGGACTCCTTTTGCCAATGTTGCGACAGAAAAAAAATCTGTAAGTTTGTTATCCAACTCAATGCATGTAAACAGATAATTAGCACACTCCATTTTCACTTACTCCAGTTTTGTGAAACTGATAAATTAATTGCTACATGATCCTTCTGAAACAGCACCGTTTAACACAGTGGCAGAAAAATCTAATGGGACACATTCAATAAAAACGTGTCTCTCACTTTTAGTTGAATTTTGAAAGTCTCTTTTTGCAAGGTTTGATGCTGTCCTTTCTATTATAGTTCATTTTCAATTCATAATAGAGAAAATCAGTGACAAAGAGGAGGCCAAGTGCTGGCAAAGCCATAGTACAACACAATAGGAACAGCAAGGGGACATGGAAGCAAGAGGAAAACCAAGTACATGGAACAAACTAGAAATACACTAAACCCAGGAGACGTCTTAGCCCTATAGCAAATTTTACATTCTTTCAATGAGTAGATTAGTTTATTTTCCACTGATTTTCCACAATTCAGCATTTATTCAGAATTTAAGTAATACACAACATGATTAAATGTGAAGTACATGAACCATTCATGTGCTAACAAACGCTGCCAGTGTTTTCTCACAGGTAAAGCTGAAGCAAGTGTGTCAGAACGACATTGAGTTGAATTTAGTTATGCTGGTACTTTACCATTTTTGATAATTGTTACCTAAGACAAAGCCAGCAACCATCTAATCAATGTTGCAAGAGGCTTGTTTTCCATGTGTGAATTCCAGTAAGCAGAAGTACAGATGAGATCAGTTTGAATACATGACCAGCATCTTCACATGGCATACTTCTGAAGAAAGCGGTCAAATGCATCATAAATTGCTTGTCTAAAACAAAGAAAAAAGATCCCTTGTATCATTTGGGAAAGGGCAGATACATGTGGGGTATTTCCATATATTTACAAATATGTTTATAAAGCTATCATCACGATTTCAAAAGAGCTTTCTATAAAAATATGATCTTGAGTAGTTTTTTCCTCCTTCACTTATTTCTGGGATCTCTCACTTCAAGCCTGGAACATGTTCCAAAGAGGAGAGGGACTGTTTACCAACTTTAATATGCTTGCAAATGTTAATGGAGGAGTTTTCTACTAAAGTATGTCAGGAAGTGAGTCAGAGATACATCATAATTACTCAGTTTTGAGCAACTATCATAAAATAAGGCTGAAGTTTTAAATAGCAATAAGCTAGTGGTTAGTATACCTTGACCCAGTATGTTGCTATTATTTTTTGTGCTGCTTAGGCTTCCTAAATGGGATGTACACTCTTACTAATTCCTTATATTTTAAAATTACTAGCACAAGTACTTAACTTCTATAAACTAAGGAACTAGATTTATATAACTGCTGGAGGTTAACTGTCCTTGGAAAGTCATCCTCTAGTATTATTAAGGCATGAATTCACACAAGTGCTACTCATTTGCAGTCAAGTTCACATTTTAATTCTCATTTTCAACTGTGTGGTTTCTTTAACTCTCAGAGGATAACATTAGCAAAAAGACAAGAACTGCACAATACAACATAAGCAGTCACTGCTTAAAAAAATATTTTCTAGTGTCCAGTGAACACCCTAACTAAAAGCTTTTCTAGGAAAACAAGAGTGAGAAGGATCATTCTCTTACCATAGGCTCACTGACCAATCCAAGCTATGCTGCACCCCATCTTTCTTCATAAAACGGAAACACTGACCTTCTCTTTTAATTATTTGAGATCTGGTAACTTTATCTTCAAAGCAGTGCTTTAGAGTAATTATAAACTTGCTTTTAGAGGAAAAATGATGTCTCAAAATTATGGTATTAAGCTCTTAACTATTTTTAAACTTTCCTGTTTACCTTACCTAAAGAGTCCTTGTTTGAAGAGGTAGGCACTGACATGACCTCCATCCAGATACCTGATTTCACACCCAGGCCAGATTTCTTGAAGACTGCGTACCCCAGTTCGGGGAATATATGCATCCTCCTTAGCTTGAACCACTATGATTAAACTTGGGTCAACTGGAACTAAAGAAAACATAAAGAAAAACGAAATTTTAAGGAAAGAAATAGAAACACATCAGCTGAGATTTCTCCTGTAATTATGCTATTTCTGAAAAAAAGCAAATTATTCTAAGCTTTAATAAAAATATATTTTCGGAAGTCTGCAGCAGAAATTATCTGATTTTTGACATTACAGTAAAGAGGCCATCGGTAGGAAAACAAACTAATTAATCCCCTTCCCTGCCTTAGAGCAGGAAACTTCACAAGTCTCTGATGAATGACAGGAGAATTGTCTTTTCTCTTAAAACTCTATAGCACGCAGGTAAGTTCTCCGAGATCTCTCTTCTTCAGTGAAAAAGAACTAGGACAGAACTTGACATCTGAAAATCAAAAGAGCAGAAGCCTCATATATTTTCTTTCTCCTCAAGGAGGGGAAAAAAGACAACTTTGCATATGAGAGGGCAGACAAAGTGCAGTTTACATTCACTTTCTTTCCTGTTTTCTGTGTGGTTTAGTTACAACATAAAAAGCTCAACATATTGTTATATATACTAATTACTCATAAGCAGAATCACACCAATCTTTATTACTGGTAAACAGGAATAATGCCAAAATGATGTTGAGAAAAATAACACCAGAACGACGTTGAGCACAAAACAGTCCTCTATTCACAAAAAATGTGTAATATAGTAAACAGTAACAAACCAAAAAGTTTTAAAATGGGGTGTCACAAATAATTCAGACCCTCTCCTTTCATACATACTAGATCATGTATAGAGGATATGTAATGCCAAGATAGATCCCAGTCTTCCATTCAAGTTTCCATGAAATCTGAATGTTAGGCAATTTTCTGAAGCTACTCTCTAGACACGCTCCCAAGAATGCCCTGGCAGGGGATGAGATGTCTCCCAGATTATGAAGACACCTGGGAGACAACTGACAAAAAGAACGACATCACTTTGATGAGCGCATGAGGATCACAGATCCTCTTGAGTTTCAAGGGAAACCTAAGCTAAGTGATACCTGGATAAGTGTCTAGATAAACAAGAATGTCAATACCTAGAAAAACGTTTCCAGGGGTTTTTTTGTCTACTGAAGTAACTTTTAAAGCTTTAAGGAAAACACTTTCCTGGTATCTGTCACAAAACATCCCCAGCTAGCAGTGATCTGGGACATTATCCAAGTCAAGTAATCTATCCCAGTGTAGAAAATGTAGGAAATATTTACTTTTTTTTAATTATTTTTTTTTACCATTTACCTGTGGAGATGCCAGAACTCAAAAATGAGACAGTGCAGGGGTCTCAGGATCAACAGTGTTTTGACACTGAAAGACAGCTCTGACAGAAACCTGTCTGAAGCTAAAAATATGCTCTAGGACATGTCTAGAGTCCATACTTTGCCTAAAAGTATCATTCAAGTTTGGTTCTCAGCTATGTAGGCTTTCTATCTGAAGACTTCTGCTTTGTGATTTTTACTTGAATCTGCTTGAAAAACCTTACTAGCAAATTAATCAGATTAATGTTACTAGATATCACACAGATGTTTTGTTCTTTTAAATAATACAAATTTGCACTGACTCATATCTGAAAATAGCCACAGCAAGCCAGATAAAAATGAGCAAATATACTGAAAGGTAAATTTGTAATTCATATTATCATTAGCTGGCCCTTAAGAAGAACTACAGAAACAATCAGAAACAGAATGGTAAACATGTTATTGAATGTTAAAGATGTTACTGAATAACATTCAAGATATTTTCATATTTCAGCTAAAGTGCCAGCAGGTTTACACACTGGAGAATGAAGAAAATACCTTTTTCTTCCACAGTATTTTATTCAGTTTTCCTAACAGCGCATTAAAAAAAATACTTACCCGAGAAATTACCTACATGGGTACATTCATCCATTACTCCTTTCATGAACCGTAAGGATTCTCTCTGTAAAGTGTCACTCTTTATTCTTTTATTTATCCTGTATCCTTGTGGGCTGGTTAAGTTTTTATTGCTATTGCTACTGGTTGAAAATGTTTGATTTATGCACTGCATTTTAGGCGAATCATGTACTAAGAGTCTTTCTGATGAGGCACTTGAAGTACTTTTATTTGTGGTAAAGCTGTGAACAGCTTCTTTAGATACAGTCTTGATTGTGGAATCAAGGTTGAACATTCTGGAAGTCACGTCTACATCCACCAGGCTGTCCACACTGTCAGGGAAGTTTTTAACAAAGTCTTGTCCCATCTTGAAAGAATCTGTCTAAACAAAGACAACAGGTCATTTGATAAGGGTCAACCAGTTGGATAATCTTATTTTTTAAATCAACTGACAATAAAAAAAAAAGGTAAAAACAGCACTGCTTACAGTACTTGCTCTTTTCTGCCTACATGTCACTCAATTAATTAAATTAAATTAATTAATTAAATCCTAATCATCATAACCTCTTGATAATTTCATTCTACATTTCTGTCAGTTTAAAGAATGCAGGAAGTACTTACATATGGTAGCTTATGATTCAATTGATTGTCTGTTTTTAATTCTATATTAATCTCTGAATTCATAGCTGCAGCCATGTAAGCTCCAACTTCTGGGCAAATAACTCATGAAGAGCTATGCATTTCTCAGATATCTGTTTCCACTCTCAAAAAAGCAGTAATATCTTTGTGGCAGTCTTAAAAAAGTAACACAGCAATTTTCCATAGACATTAAGAAAGACATGGAATAGCAATAAACATTTGTGGCCAGATCTAATGTTAGGATAAGGACTGAAAACTCTACTGCCTCTAAATTCTAGGAAAACACAAAATTAACGTCTTGAAATGTTTCTTTTTTTTCATCAGTATCCCTGGAGTATATTTTACTTAAATGACAAGTGCCTAAGTAACTATCTCCACTCCAGCCCTTCCTCTCCTAAGATAGTTTAAAAAGAACTGCCATAAACCAAAGACTCCTAGGAAAAAAGTTAATTATCAGAATTGGCTAGAACACAAGTGTTGCAAAATATAAGCAGTTCCCAAAAACTTCCCCCTCCCATCCAGAAGAGAGCTGGGGCAATGAAATTTCCCTCGTGAAGAGTCCTCCAACTCTAGCCAAAAAGAGTCCAGAAAATGGCAGAAAAAATATGCAGCCAGTAAAGTACTTTCATAAGGAGCAAGAAGCTAATTCCGAAAGCTTTATCTCATGTTTATCCCAACTACCTGTGCAATAAATGTTGAAGATAAGGGAAGGCTAGCATCACACATGGAAACAGAAATAGAGACCTAGCACTCTAAACAATCTAGAAAAGTAATTTAATGTTGCTACATATTAAAAATATTCTACAGCAGTGCATATTGGGAAATAACTGTTCAAAGGGCAAGAAAACACATTTTTTATTTACACACCAGGCTATTTGCTTTCCATACTAAGCCAGATGCTAGGAAATATAATCTACAGCTTCAGTGTTCCAATTTAATTCATTTTATGTTTCAGATTACACTGTTTGTGGTCACAGAAAAAACTTGTAGCAAGGGCTACATTTAACACACATTATACAAGCAAAATATGAGCTTCTGAATTTCAGAAGGTTTTCCTTCAAAGATTAGATTTATCAAAAGCATAAGAAAACAACAGGTAAACATGTTTTAGCTGACAACTGGCTACTTTTACTGTAAAAGAGAAGTGACATTATTTGTTATTTTGCAATTTTAAATAGGAAAAATTAACTATACTTACTCCACAGTATTCAAGCATTTGAATTATTTCTTCTTCATAAACAGTCTCCGTGAAATACTGTTTCTCTAGCTCTCTCCAGTTTACTGCTTTGCTCAACACACCCTGAGATTATAAACACAAGCGTTCAGTACACAAGTGAAACTCAGAGTTGATTCTAAAATGATGAGGTACAGAGAAAATTGTTCCTCTCTGCAACTTGATTTTTCCAGTGGAATTCTGCCTAAGTTTCCAGATAAGCCTTAGAATTATTGTAACCAAAGATAACCACATACTATAACCTAGGGCATAGAAACTCACCTCCCTTCAAAAAACAACAAAAAAAAGTTGAAAAAAAATATGCAGAAAACAGTCCCACTTAGGGTTTACACATATCTAGACTGGGCTAAGCCAACGATGTCTATTATATTCACCTACTCCAGCAGCAGGAGTGAAAACAGCTACCCCTCACAGTAGCAGCACACTATCACCCAACTTTTTAAGCCAGGCCAGAACTCTTAATCATTGTCCCACAAACCAGCCCCAGCCCCTCCTGTGGTACATGACCCTCTGCAGTACCTCAAAGCTACCTTCCTTATCATGTGCTATATACCCTGAGCAGGAAGGCTTATTTTTGTCACTAGTCACTCACAGAGGCCGAAGGGTGATTAAATGGGTTAACTGAAAAGGTGAATGTGGCCTTACCCAAACCTTTTTACTCATATATCTAATTACATTCTAGTATATTAACAAAAATCTTCAGTAATTACCGTAGTAAAGACTGCAGAGGCTGTTGACCAGGAAAGACACGGAATCAATGGCAATGGTTTGGGCCAGTTTGTCACTGCCAGTGAAGCCATCTAGAATCAAAGACTCTTACTTATTACATATTTTCATGTTGAATTCACAACATGGGAAAAAGATTTCTTTCACCTTCTAATGTATTTTTTTATACAGCATCAAACAAATATGCAGTTATGAACTGTGGCAGGTAGACATCATTTCACCCATTTCAAAGGTAGAGTCTATTTGTCAGTTATTTCCCTAACAATAAAGATTGTCCTGGATAGGACAAATTTCAAGGCTGAATGGGTTTTCATTTCAGCTATAAGAATTCCAAATGGAATATTCATTTTGATTTTTCAGTTGTTTAAAACAATCATAATATCTATAAAAGCCTTTGCATCAAGCTTTTCCAAGCTTATTTCAAGGCAAAATTAAGGCAACCTACAGAGGGACTATTGAAAATTCTATACTTTTAAACTCGTATACTGGAAATAAAATGTGAAGGAGAAGTAATTCAGCATGCTAAGTGGACTTTTCTTCTGTCCTTTAAGGTTTAAACTATCACTTTTACATCGGTTCTCAGAACACATTTTTCTGAATATTCTATTTATCTCATGAAAAACCAGAGCCAAGAAACTCAACATACAGAAGTTCACTATATATGTTCTCGCCAGCTTTTATTTTATTGCTCTAAACTGAACAGTGTAAACTCCCTAACATAAAATACCTCATGTCTGTACCAGATGTTCTAATAAATGGATTTATACAACTGAACTATAATTCTATCCTATTTTTTATTAATAAAATGTTACAAGAACACCATATATCTACTCTCTGATTGCCATGAAGTCTGACTTCTCTGTTTTTAGTTCCAGCTCTCCCCATGAGTAGAACTGAGTTATTACTATCCACCTTCTGTTGTAAAAGACATTCTAAAGATGATAGACGTAAAATATTATTTATTTTCCAGGTTTTAAATTGTCCCAGAAGTCATATGAGTAAGTCAGGACTAGCCAAAAATGTGTATTACTTGACTATGGAAAAATAATAATAATTCAAAGGAGTTTCCAAACTCAGATCCTGCCTCCTTCTGTATCCATGCTGTATATGACTATGGGTACAGGTCACAGTACTCAGTTATCCCCATAGCATGTGCAAAGCACCTGAAGTGTCCTGCATGGTTAGGAGTGCATACAGCAGTTTGTGACTCCCAATCCAATTTACAAGTAAGACAGGGAAGAAATGGCTAACACAAAAGTTGTGGTTTCAGCAGGGTGACATTTACATAATTCAAAGTTGTTTTTTATATTTACAACACTTAAAATTATAATACTGTGCTTTGGGGGAAAACAGGTTTTCCTTAAGTAGACACTACCATTAAACTATCTTATTTACTTAGCACCTAACAACAAACAAGGATCAGCAAAACCAAGGTGTATTGGTTTAATAAGCTTTATACCTATGTCTCACAGGCCAATGGCTATCTGTGGAGACACAAGCAGTAATATTTTAACTTTTTATTACTCTTTCAATTATCTTACTAATACACTGCTGTTTTAATTTAAATATGCACAGTGTTATACACAAAATGCTGTCCACTGCATCACAGAAATCTTCTCTTATCAATAGCAGTGATCAGGGAAAAAATTAGTTGAGAACTGACACCAAAAGTCATCTGAATTATAACATGCCTACTAAGAGAACACATTTCACACAACACATTTAAACATAAAAGTTTAAGCAAGCAGAACGGAGGAAAAGAGGGAGAACTAGCAATTGATCAGTACAGACCTTCTTTCAGACGTTTATTCTTCTTACCTTACGGAAAACAATTATCTGAGAAGCTTACATTCCTATTAAGCCTGTCAGAAGATGGCTGACAAAGGGCTCTATGATTTGTCAGTACTTACTGAGGATTATACTAGTTCAGCACCACAGAACATGAGAATTGCCAACAATTGGTTTCTCATGACTCTAAATGTTTATTTTAAAGTACTTGTCAGAGCAACACTATAAAACAAATTATTTCTGTATGCTAAATGATCAAATGAGAAGTTAAAACAAAAATTACTGAACAGGAAATATAAAAGCTTACGTGTCCTCCCATGGATATTCCAGTCATCCCTAGCGGTCCATAGCCTTCTCTCTCTAGCCAGTGCAAAAGAGCTGCTGATTCTAGAACAAGAGCTCCTCCCATCACAAACAGGTCTGAGACATTTTTTAAACACGACCGTCTTTTCTCCCCAGAAAAGGAAAACACAGGATTTATTTTCTAAGATTAGATTTTTACATTTCAAATCATTCTATACACAGTCTTAAACAAAGCTTGATCACACACCCAGAGAATGATGGACCTGTACTCCTGTTGATTCAACAGGAGAAAAACCAAGTCCAGATTCTCTGGCACTTCTACTTGTTCATCTAAATGACGACTAAGAATAGACCCCTGCTAGGCTTCTGAGGTAATATGACTAATAGCCTGGTTTTTTAGAAACAGATATTACCAACATTAGAATCTCATTAGTAGTCATCTTCCATCCTGTAAAGTTACAATGGATCTTTTAGAAACAGAATCAGTGATACATTCCTAGACATATACTATCTCATTTGCATAAACAATCCTTTTTTCCTTTTTTTTCTTATTTACCTGTTTTACATGACTGAAAAATTGCACACAACATTTGAAGAGCAATCAGTATGTCAGCTTTGGAAGCATTCATCTGTGTCACTGTAAGACTGAAATTGTAAAGTGGGAAGTTTGTCACGGTACTGAGGAATTCATGTAATGTACTGCAAAGCATTAAAACAGAAGAAACAAAAAAAAGTAGAAAGCTATTCAGCTCAATCACCAGAGGGACTCTAAAAACTGAAAAAAATTATTTTCAGATTAATACATCTCTAATTTGGGGAGGGGAGCTTTGTACTTTCATTATGATATAGGCAGGCTACAAAAGGCTACTGGGCTCATCTGCCAGCATACAATCACATTTGAGACACTCTGAAGCACAAGGACAAAGCTTACTGTGCAAGTCACAGGAGAAATGAACAGAGCTGCTGCAGACCAGTATTTATAAGCTAATGTAATTCTTTCCTATTGCTTTGTTATGAGATTCCTCAGCCCTCTCCAGCTGCTGTATTTATTAAATGCTGCTACTAGCATATTAACTAAAACCACTACTGCTGCTTTGTAACCTTGTACTGAATAGTGACAGCTACTGGCTTGGGTATTAGGCTGAGCACTCCCCCTTCAAAGAATCCTTCCCTACATCATACCTATACTAAGCTGTCAAGCTGGACAACTTAGAATGAAGTTAGAAACATCCTCCCCAAAATATTTATTCTTCTGCATCAGATCCTCAACAACTGGAAAAGACTCCACTACTGGGTGTATTCCAGCACCCACACCCTCATGTCATTTTCCAATAATCTTACACTCCTAAATGCAATAATAAATACACACGTTCAAGCAGTTTTCCTATCAAAAAACAATTTTACAAGAATAATCTTTGTTGATAAATATGCTTAACTTTTTAAACAAATTGGTATATGTGTCAAAATAAAATTCAGCATCTGCTTTGAAGAAAACCTATAAGCCATTTTATAATTTTCTCCTTAAAAGCAATTTTATAAGCTTTTGGATTTAGGAAATCCAAATGCTGACATCTGAATGAAATCTAGAAAATCTAACATGTCATAGTGTGAGACAGAGCTCATGATGAAGTCCTAATGGAACAGACAGGTTAAGGAATTTCAGCTTTCAAACTAAATAACTTTCTGTACATCTTCTATTCATGTTTGTTAAATGCCCAAGTTAGGAATAAAAAGGACTGAAACACCAATTCATATTTGGACTTCAACAAACATTGGTAGACTCAAACTATAACTTTGCCTCAGACACATATTACCTGTTGAATTCTGTTTATACTCAAGTGGTTTGGAAAATATGAAAAGCAAAAAATCCAGTACTGCCTAATTAGGCACCTAAATTCACATTAAGAAACTGACTGAGGGAGCCAAGTCCCATAGAATACTGAATATTACATAGTTTCCACTGACTAACAAACAAGGAATATCAAATTTATTTACACATCTGACTGTGGTCCCCTGAAAATACCTTGTAAAAGCAAAATCTTAGCAATTATAACTGGAAAGCATGCTGTCTGAACAAAGATTCTTAACAGCTGACTGAAATACCATCGTGGCATTTGTACGTGCACATTTGTGAATCAGGAAAATAAACTCCTATTTGCTTGCACTTGCACTCATCTCACTCTACACTAAAAGGTCATCTTGTGCAAAATTTTCTGATCACTGTGATCCCTTAACACAAAAAATGACAACATAGCCTAGAAAAGGGCAGACAATTTCACATTAGGAGGTTACGAGTGGTCCATGCTTGAGATTTATTTTTTTTTTAAGTTTTCAAAGTGTATAGTACTTCGAGTTTCTTGAGAAAAAAAGAGGGGGAAAAAAAAGGGGGCATTTGGAAAACATAGCATCCATTAATGAAATGGTAATACTTACAATTGATCCTTAGGTTTTCTACAGCCATGTAGAAGACTCAAGTTAAAGAAAATCAAAAGTTTATATGAAAAATTGGCAATTAAAACAAAAAACAAAGTAAAATAAAATAAATAACATACATAAATAGCACACTGATTAAAATTTGAAACTTAAATCTCCAATGTTTAGCTGCAATTAAATCAATTTAATATTTGCAACACAAGATTTTACTTTTGTCAGGTATATGAGCAGTAAAAAAGTGGGGTTTTTAAAAACAAATCTTAAATTATATCAGTAAGTTTCTCAAAGGTACCTGAGGTACCAAAGAGTTGCATTTGAGAATGGAAGGCAGGAGAGGCAACTTCCTTTGCCATCATTAATACATTCAAAAGTCACCTATTACGATGTAGAAAGAATGGTTTTCACTCTGTCTTGGCTACAGGAATCTTATTGATACTCTCATCAGTACACAGATTCAGATCAGAACTCATACTGTAATGACTAACAGTGAGATGCCGCAGGAGACATTTTCAAAAAAAAACCAAACAAACAGAAAAGCAATACTTGGTGCAAAAGTAACATATGCTATTAACTATGCTCCACGTTGTGTTTCGTGCAATGGCCACACTTTGCTTCTGTCCACTGGAAATGAATGCACAAAGTACACATTATGCCAGAGTGGTAAGTTTCTATCTTCTGGAAAGAACATTAAGAATAAATATCTTGCTTCCCACAAAAGGATATAATAAGGATTTTCTAGCAATAGGGAAGCCATACAAGCTTCTTTAATCATTGGGCGTGCCATTAATGTGCGTCTCCTCCAAAAGTGCTACAGATAAGATGTACAAACATATATTAAGATAAACTCTGATCACTTAATTTCTCAATAACAATCAATTTTACATTTTACATACTCACATGATCTCCAGTGCCGGCTAAATGAATGCACACAGGCCTGTGCTTGCTATTCCATCTTCTGGGTATGATGAACTGAAATCTGTGAGAAACAGTTATTTTAACAAACTAAGTCTAACTGTTTACAAGATGGCCCAGATAGATTGATTATAAAAAAAAGGCAGAATAAATTATTTTCATAACTCATGCAGGCAAACTGACAACTATTCAGCAGTATCATTTTTCACAAACACATCCAGCAAAGAAAGGAATCCAAAAGTAGGACAGAAAAAGTGCCAAACAAGAGAAGGAGCCAAGCTGTAAGATCATGTTCCTAAAAAAGACCACTGCCTCATTGTCACAATTTAAATCTTGCAGAGTGGAAAAATGGAACTTCAGATGAAAAGCAGCCTAAACTAGTATGACTAGCTCTCCTAAGCAGCATTGCTATTTTTCTCCTAAGGGCACAACAACGTAAATTGAAGATTAAGATGAGAAATATATTCAAATTTTTTTAAAAATCAAAAATGAAACCAATCATGAAACTATTTTGTGCAACCAACAGCAATCACTTAATGTCAACCACTTCACATCTGCTACTCAAGTTGTTTTCACACGGGAAAAAAAATTACTTCTGAGCCACTAGTATTTTCCCCACAAGATGGAGCAATTTTACCCACAACAGCGTTAAAAGTATTCACACAAAACAAAACGATCTTAAAGGAAATTTGTAAGGCATTTCAGAACTGTGTCAATGTGGTCCAGTGTAAAAATTAGAATTAACTTGACTACAAATCATAAGAAAACATAGAAAAGGAAACAAACAGAATACTGTATTTTCCAGTATAGCACTAATTAGTCCAATAATGTTAAGAGGCAGTTTCTCTAACCAACAGAGGTGGAAGTGAACCAGTATTTTGGCTATCAAACTTTTTCTGACATTCCTTCATGTTATATGTTTAAGTACATACAAAAACGTCAATCAGTAATACTAATAAAATTGGCAACGTCAGTATCAACTTTAGGTGGTAAATTTTTAAGTTACTAAACAAAGCTTGGGAAAAAATTCCATCATGAAAGTTTAGCTCAAAACTAGAAGCAAACAAAAATTATGCTCCCTTTCCAAACTCACTCCTCAACTGCAAGGCAATTAGTGTGAAACCAGCAATATTGCTATTAGGTATCTTCTGATTATTTGGGATCATCCAGCTTTCTGGTTTTTTTGGCAACACACCAGATTCTCCTGCTACAATTGAATGAACTTACTATTTCAGTACACATACAGTAGTTTTGTAATCAATGTAAATGGAAGGCTGGAATGGTTCCTTCAGATACAACACAACATGCTTACTTCATACAGCTTCTCCTGCTATGTAAAAACAAACTACTGCCTATTCTGCTAACTGGAAAAAATACAAATTTCAAAATACCCAGAGTATTCCATAGCTTTGTGCAATATGATTCTACACTCAAAAAAAAGAATTACTTATACATAGATTAATCCATTACTTAAGTAAGATTTGTATTTACTTGTGAGGTCTAAATCTATATCAACACTTTTTTTGTACTAATCATATCATTTTATGATTAGTTCAAAAAACAGTTTGAAATTTTACAGATAACTTGCTTCACAAACTATTCATAGAACATTCTTACTGCTCTGCAGTTTCAGTTTCAAAAACAAAATACCACTTGGTTTCTCTTACCTTGCTACAAGAGATTCAACTGGCAGGATACCTGGGACATAATGAGTCAATGGGGAAATGAAGTGCCCCTCAAGGATTCTACAGTCGGATTGCTCCTCGACCTACAGAGAGAGTTGGATGATAGCAGTGTATTTCATACTGATGTCTAACTTGCTCTGAAAGCCAGCCTCTTAAAGGAGAAGAATTTATTACAGGATAAAAAAGTACTGAAAAAAGCAAAAGCTGAGGTCTATGTATCAACACAGTCAAAGTATTTGTTTCAAACTTTGCTTTAATTACGGGATCTCATTTTCCCATCCCTTCCAACTCTATTTCATGTTTGTACCATTGCCTCTTAATTCTATCCACAGCAGTTCAATTAAAATAAATTTAAAAAAAAAAAAAAAAAAGGCAGAACAGCAAAGTTTAGAACTGCTCTTCATTTCTGACTCCTTATTCACAACTCCTAGATGGAAAAGGCTTCAGAGCAATGATCTGCACATCTCACTTGGAAGTACAGGGCCTCCTTTTTTCCAATCAAGGACATCTGAGAACTCAACACTACATTGATTTATTCTGCCTCTACAGTCTCACTTCCTCTTCCCTCACAGATAAATGTTAATGTCCTTTTCTTGATACAGAGCAACTGGGAACACCTGTGAAGTCAATTACTGCCTCTATGCACTCCTTAACACAACTCCCCAGCTGCCAAACTCCACAGCAAGCCTTTTTGTGATAATGTCAAACAGGAAAATATAGTCTCACAGGACATCACAATTCAACTCTTTTATCCTGCAACAACAGCCTGAAAACTACTAAGTTGATTTCACATCTATATAAGATCAGGAAAATTAATGTAATTAAACTGCATCATCTCTTGCTTTTAAGTACCTTGTCAACGAACACAGGGTAATCTTTCGAAACCAGGGTCTGGCATTTTTCCCTGTTTCCAATAATCTTTCTGAATTCAAATATTCTGTTGAAAGGAAAGTAGAGAAGATTCAACTTTTAATCTAAAAAAAAGAGAAAACACACACATATATATATATAAAATTTCAGGAACTAAAGTCACAAAGAAATTAAGTTATGAAGTCAGCTTTGCATTTACAGATTAACCAAGCTAAGTCACAAAAAACCCCACAAAACAAAAAAACACAAACCTCAAGTATATTGCTTTCTGTTGCACACCTCTTAAACTAGTATTTTACACCTGCTATGTTGAAAATATCCTAACGCTCAATAATACAATTGCAAGATCTTGCACTTGCTTTTTTCTGCTAAACAGACTGCAGAGTCTTACAGAGCAAACAATAGAAGACTCTTCTCAGGTATACAGTGAGAAGAGGCAATGACTGTGCGTTGCAACATAAGAAATTCCTACTGTAACACAGTAAAAGATTTATTCACAATGGTAGTGGTTAAGCCCTGGAAGATTGCCCAGGAAAACTATGGATAATCTCCATCCTCCAGGGACTTTCAAAACTGAAATGGACGAGGTGCTAAGTGACTTGAACCAATGATAAAGCTAACTTGCTTTCAAACAGACATCTGGACTAGATGCCCTCAAGCTGTTCCTCTCAACTTTAAATAATCTATGCTAAGAATAACTTACTCCTTCTTATGGTTGTAAGCACACACAATGTATAACAGGAATTATCTGTTCACCTTCCCAACACGAAAAAAAAACAACAAACCGAAAGGACGGAAAGAAAATCCAATTTACCAACACATTAAAAATAGTTCTACTTTAGCTTGCTTTTCTTATACAGAACAGTGAATTCATTTTGCATTTCTGAGAAAATGAGGGTAAAGGTAACCCTGTGAGTACACATGCGCATTTGAAGGGTAAGCTAAATGAAGAGACTTTTTGCCTGACACTAAATACCCTAAAAATACTGTGTTTATGTATTTCCTCTGTAGTTAGGAGGATACTGAAGGCTAAATCTTGCATGTGTTGTGAAATTTCAACTCTTGCTGATGAGTTGAGGATAAAGCATTACTAACAACAATCAACACATCAACGGTGTGCACAGAAAACTTCAGATTACTTCTAGGTAGGGTAGTCTGTACTACCAGCCAACCTCAATTAATAATTGAAGTGCAATTTAATACATTCTTCCAATGGAGCTACACAGTGATCAATTAAAAAAAAAACAAACAACAAGAAAAAACAGCCAAAACCAATGTGGACGCTGTTTCTAGCATGACAGGGCATGCACACTAGGGCATAGTACTCCCTCCTCCCACTAATCAGCAGGAGAAGTCAGGAGCAGCTGGCAGTCTTCCTTTTTCACCCAGCTGAAGCCAGGCTGTTGGGGAACAGCTCATCTTCCCCTTCCAGGGCAATACATCAAACAAATTCTTCTTCCAATTTCCAGAGCAGCAGGCCAGCAAGCCTGCCTCACTTTTGATCTCATGCAAGAGGTTTTTTCCCCCTGCACTATGAAAACAGAAGAGCCATAGCTGATACAGTTATTATTACCAGCAATGGGTCTGTATTGCTGTTTGACATTCGTGTCATTCCCTTCTCAGCTCCCAGCAAGTGGAAAGCCTTGGCTAGTATTGCAACAGTCCAGAGAAGTATTAGTCAGAAGCTCCCCTACTGCTGGGGGGGGGGAGATTGAGATGGAGGAAATAAACTTCATCATGTCCCACCAAGAACCTGAAAGTTTTTAAGAGAAGGTTTTGATAACACTAAAAAGTCCTACTTCATACACACACACACTTAACAGAATACAGACATTCCACAAGCAAAACTAAACACATCTTTTTTGCTTTTTCCAAAGAAAGCAAGAAAAACATGTTAAAAACCCAACATTCTCGTTTTGCATAGAAGTCTGGTACTTAATAGAAAAATCAACTGGAGAAAGACGTACAAAGCAATCCGAGTGAAATTTCAAGATGAGATGTTCCCTTGGACTTAAAAAAAAAAAACAATATACAGGCTCTCACCTAATTGCACTAATTGCCCAAGTGAACAAAATTTTATTTCAGGTTTTTAAAAAATTTTCTTTACTGTTTTGCAAATACATAAGAATCAGCTTATTAAATGCAGATTTATGATCTATTTAAATACTACATGATGAAAAACATATTTACTCAATTTCTAAACTTAAGAAATGCAAGTGCTCAGCTTCCAGGTGTTACTCTTAATAAAAATAATAGAAATCAGGAAATATTAAAAAAATAAGATAAAGTTCCCTTTTTTTGTCTTATTTTGTAGATATCTAAAAACATGAAATACTTTAGGCTGTGAGAGAAACATCTGATAATATCTTACACTTTTAAAGCCCAATAAGAAGTTAAAGAAAGCTAGTAAGATCCTCCTCAATGCCCAACAGAACAATTCCACTGCAAAAATTCAGCAAATTTTGTTCATAGAAAACATTTTTCAGAGATGTTGCTGGACGTATGTTATCATACATATGCGTAAGTGAAAAATGTAATTGGACACATACACATTCTCTCCAGAAGAGCCTCTTTAAACACAAGCCTTTAGCAAATTCCTTTCTGAGTTCTTCTAAATCTGTTCCCTCCTTTGGTATAAAACACATTATTTCCTGAACAAAACAAACTTTAACACACTTTTTTTAATACAAGATAGTAACAATTGTTGGTACTTCAAGTGTTGTTGTTTTTTTTTCTTTTAGGTACTGTAAAGTACTCTTTATGCTGTTATTTTATAACAAGTCACCTTTTCAGGTCCTCGGGCTTTCCCCATCCTCTGATGAAAAGTTTAGTGAGAAGTAACTTTCTGTACAAGACGTCTAGTTTACTTACACCCATTAGCAGCAAACTGACATCTAGAAAAAAAGAACAGGTGAAAACAAAGACGGTTAAAGGGGTTAACTTGAGTGGCAAGTTCCTGGACTCAAACACAAAGTTCTTATTCTGGTATCTGTATTAATGAAAAGGCATACCATTTTATTACGAGGAAGTTAACCTTGACAATCAAGTAAATTATTTTCATATTACACAAAATAAAAAGGCGGTTAATACAAACTCTAGCTTTCCTAGGTAAATGAAATATAGGAGTAGGAATTTAATATGCCTAATAGAACCAGAAATGTATTACATAATTTATGACAAGCCAACTAAAGATGGACATAAGGTCACAGAACTACATCTTCAACGAGCCTTAACTGTATTTTACTGGAATCAACAAAAAGAAAGTGGCAGTCAACTCTGTCCTGTCTATCTATTTATCTATCCATCTATACATAATGACAAAAATCATACTTGGTTCTAAACAACTAGATCTTATAGCTATATAACTATTCATCTATGAAAAAGAAAGAAAAAAGTAGCTCCATTCACTGATTAAGAAAAGCTTATTTTTCTAAACATGTAAGATAACCTTGATTTTATCCATTCCTTTCCAATTTTCACAAACTCATTTCTAGAAGTTTTTAAAAACAATGCTCCCACTCCCTTCAGGAAAGAAATAATGCCATCAAGATCTTTACCAGTATCATTTCTCTTTCAGCAAATACACTAGCTCAAATATAGCTAAAGGCAACAAGATTTTAATCAAGCTGACCATTATTTTCAAAGCAATACTTACTGAAGTGGGCAGGGAGCCACTACTGTGCTCTTCCAATGAGGAAGGAAGAAAAAACTCAAAACAACCTCAAATCTGGTTCCTTGGTCAGCAGGATACAAAATTTAATTTATTAAATTAAAAAAAAAAAGTAGCCCAGGATCTGTGTACACCTAAGAAAACAAGAGATTTCATAATCAGAGATGTGGTTATTTAAGTTACCTTCAACTATTTTTTAGTATTTCCAGATCCCTCCATACTAAACAGTCTAAATACCTTCCTTCATCACACTCCAAAATAGTATAATTTAATTCACGAGTTGCTGTTTGTTGTTTTTTTCTCATTTTAATCCAAAGTCTATGTATTCTGCCACACTTGATTGTGGTAATTCTTAAAATAAACTTGTCTGAATAGAACATGTTAAAATTGTCGTCAGATTAATAAATACATTGTGTTGCAATATATAGTATATGGCTTTCAAGACAAAAGAAAAATGCTTTAACTATTTTGTTACTATCAACATTTAAATTATAGACAGCTTAAGGTGTCTAGAACAAGAACACTGGTACAAGCACCATAGATAATCACAATGGTTCTGTGTTCCATCTCTACAGGGAAGAAATAAATACCTGAAATCACCAGAAAGGCAAAGTGGGGACCTTCTATTTTAACACTTTAGGAAGTGTCCCAGTCAGTTGGCTGGTGTAATCTTATAATTCTGATCCATATGTGCTTGATCGACTAGAATCACAACCTCAATACAATCTTTTCCCTTGCCCACTCAGGAAATATCCATTGACCCCATGTGCCATTAGGTTGTCAGACAGAAAATATTTGCCAGACTCTCTGCAAGGTCCCACCTCTGCTTTTCGGAGCAAGGGGGCAGGTTGGGATTTCCCTGGTGCTTGAAGAGAACGGGGTAGTGGAGACAGGGACAGAAATACAGACCAGATCCTCTATGGGCCTGAGTAGACAGTTCAGAGTGAGTATGCACAAGAGTATATCCATGCTGCCAAAACCATACTGAAAGTAGATCTGCAGTTCCATTGTTACACTGCTTACCAGTAACCATGAACAGACCCTTTAATCAATGTTTTGATGCCTAACAAAGCAGCTCTGCATGCTTTTTTTGGTGGTTTGTTGTTTTCATTTTTTAAAATCCTCTCCAAAACAAATGACAAATGAGAGAAAAAATAGGAGATGCTGATTTTCCTGTGAGTTGGAAGGCTGGCCCGATGCACTCTCTCTGTTGCACCAAGGGAATGCCAAAGCAAGTTTCTAGACAAGTACATTAAATTTAAATGCAACACTGATTGAGGTGAAAGGTTGTCTTTTCCTGTATTCTATTTTATTGATTGAATAAAGTACTCTAAAGTAATTCAGGATATTTCAATTAATCAGATTCAAGAGTAAACTGCTACTGGAAAGAGTACAGGAAACACTAAAACAGAAAAAACATATTCCTAATACCTGAAGCATGTTGTATATAACTTTTCAGACGTATTACTGAAATAAAACAGGGGTCATGCTACCATTTTATTTATCCTAGTTAAAGAGCAGGACATGCTTCAATCACTGCCCATCAGTGCCTACATGGAAGACACAAATACTTTTACCCTCAGAAAAGGCAAATCCAAGTGCTGGAAGCTGAAGCTTTATAACTTCATGGTAGAAGTAAAAGGTGTATTTTAGCAGCTACACTTCTGACTTGAGAAAAGAATCTGCAGAGCTTGTTTCAGAACTGGATTTCCCCCACTTGATACCACACACATCAATCACATCATGATCCCTCAGTAAGACAGACCAAGTGGGGGCAGTGACTTGATAAAGATGTTGCAAAGGACAAGAAACAGCAACTGTGTTATGAATATTCAATAAGTATATTGCAAGTATGGTAAGCTTTACACAATTTTAAGCTGTGAATAGAAATTGTAATAGATGCAAAACCACCTTAAGAAGTGATCCTCTAAGAAAACTTCTATTTTTTAAGAGTATTTTCTAGGGATGAAGACAAAGAAACCTCGAGATAAATTATAGGCAAGGCTCTTGATCTAGGAAGAGTGTTTTTCTTTGCTTCCAGAACCCTCATACTGCATACTATCACTTTTTAGTGTGTACGCAAAGAAACAAGACACAAAAATTCATTCGAAATCCAACACACAACAGGTCAGCTGTTCCATTTTATCCAGTGCACAGAGCTTCAGTTACAAGGAAAACACCACTGGAAAGTACATAAAGGCTTCATTAACGGCCCAGGCTGCTGCTTCTGTACAGGGATATGAAACAGCTCCCATGGATAAGTCAACCACAGAACCAAGCAAAAAGGCTTATCTGTTTTAGAAGGTTGAGTCTCCAACTTTTCCTGCCATATTTTTAATTATTATTTTTTTTTAAATATATCTCTCCTAATAAGCGCCAGGTGATGCTTCAGGCTTTTTTCCCTCTTTTCCCTCCAACAGAACATGGCTTAAAAAACCCCACCACCTCAGAACGCCACTAAGTCAGGGCAACAAGTCGGGAACAAGCCCAGCGACACCTTCACACACACTCACAGGAGCCTGCGGACAAACAGCCGGGCCCAGACCAGCAGCACCGCCCCCACCCCGGGCGGCTCCCCCGCCGCCCC